TTCACCTCAGACCCTTCTTCTGCCACCATCTTGCCTTTTCCTCAATGACTACCACTGGGATTTCTAGGTGAATATTTTTGTGGTGCATGTGCGCATATGTAGAGGTAGAGGAGTGTTTGTACCTGCGGGGTCGAGGCAGACTTAATTTAACAGCCATGCCTGATTGAATTTCATTTTCATGCAACAGAATAGATCGCCTCCTGCAATAAATAAAGAGAGCGGAGTTATTTGCATATCTTCCTTTGTGGCCCTTCGAGAAATCTCTGCCTCACTTCACATGGAAATTCATCTCTAGGCCTAGAAAGAATGGAATTTATCATAGGTACCCAGTGGGGCTGCAGTGGCACAGCCAATTAAACTGCTAAGCTGCAGAACTTGCTGACCAGAAGGTTAGCGGTTCAAATCCACAGGATGGAGTGAGCTCCCACTATTAGCCCCAGCTTCTGCCAACCTAGCAGTTCAGAAACATGCAAATGTGAATAGATCAATAGGTAGCACTCCGGCGGAAAGGTAACAGCACTCCATTCAGTCATGCCGGCCACAAGACCTAGAAGAGGAGCACTACCCCCAGAGTCGGTCTTGACTAGAGTTAACGTCAGGGGAGAACCTTCACCTTACTCAGTCATTAGCCGCTTTGGGTCTTGATCAAGAGAGAAAAGCAGGATGAGGATAATACATTTGTCCCTGACACATTGGCAAATATCTCTCTAGTAGCCACTGTTTCTAAGTGAAACTGACCCCAGTGAGATTTTGGGCCTGAGCTTTTCTGAAACAGGTTGCCATCAATCCAATCCTTGCAGAAGATCAGAGCATCCAAGGCGCCAAATAGCAAAACTAATTAAAGCTCGCTCGCTAATTGTTGTTTAGAAGGGTGTTGCGGAAAGAAAGAGAGACAGCTGGGGGAAAAGACATTTAGCATCTGCTGGATGCCAATGACAAAAATGGAAGTGATGCAAGGATTTTGGGAGAACTGAAGGGCCCACAAAGCCAATATGAAATGCTCCCCAGATCTGAGAGGAGGAATGGGATGCTCCCATTATGCTTACCAACTCAGTGGCATTGCTACCAGCTCTCCAGCCCGCCCAGTTCAACATTGCATATCTATATATTTAAGTTATATGCTCTATTTGTCCAGCATGGGTCTCAAGGCAGCCCAGAGGAAATAGAAAGACAGTGCAGCACCAACCTTTTGATACAAAAGGTCCTTTCTCACTTTCTGACTACAGTAGTTCTTCCTGATTATTGACTTTTGTATTTTGATTATTCTGATTTTAATTTTTGCATTCTTTGGTGTAACTCTGCTCAGTTTCCTCTGGTTGTGCTGGAGGACCGAGAGATTTCTGGAGAGAACGCCTCTCTAGGGATCTCCGTGTCCAACAATGTGATTCTGTGATCAGCTTACAGCAGAAGAGATGTGCTGGAAGACTTAGAAATGTCTAGGGAAGCAAAAAAAAAATAGCATTTTCTTTATTTGTGTCTTTTCACTTTAATGGGAATTCCGTACTCCTAACCATACTGAGGCGGGTTGATTGTCAGGTTTGTGCAATGCCCCATGTTGCCCAGCCCCTGCTGTCCTCCGCCGGTGCCACCAGGGGGCGTTTTTACCCAGCATGCTCAACTTGGTCGTAGTCAAGGCAAACTACCAGTGAATTATTTCTGTGTGATACAAATGTCTTGAGGTGGAGAGGCAAACCTTGTGGAGGTGAGCCGAGCTGGAAGACGCAGAGTAAATCACCTGCTGTAATCTATTTAGACATTAACAAGCAACCCCTTCAATTATTCATAGAGATGGGGGGGGGGGGAACAACCCAACAACACCCGTTTAAATCATTTAATAACCCTTGGAGGGAGGGATTTCAAAGCTGGTGAAGATAATGGGTCTCATCAAGTCCAAGAGGGACTGTATGCGTCAGCCAAAGGATGGGATGACAATGGGTTGGGAATCTAACTTCCAGAACAGCAGAAAACAAGCTTGCTGTGCCTTCTATTTGGCATCCCTCCTCCATCTATGTAAAGATAACTGTATCACATTGAAGCAGAGCATGGATTGAGGGGGCCCTGCCTAAGCAGAGGCCTGCGAAGACCCAAAAGGAGGGTTTGCTACACCTGGCAAGACAATAAGCACCAATAAAAGTTTCCCTATTTCCCAATAAATCTCACCAGGATGAAACAAGGCCACCAAAGTTTATTTTCTATTCCAGCTGGGAAGGATGACGACTGCAGTAATCTGCAAGGGAGCTGGCATAACTTCTGTGCAGGGAACCATACAATATATACAGTTTTTCCCATTCAAATTTCCTGCACCCGTCCCCTGAGCCAGCTTAACTGTGATTGGCTGTGACATCAGCGAGCTGGGAGGAGCGTCCGGGGGCCAATGCGGCTTGCCCAATGAGAGCCCGAGCCCCGCTTCGGCCACTCAGTCAATGGTGCGTAAGGAGGCACGGCAACAGTAAAAAAAATGGACAATAGTACTTAATTATAAGATTATGAATGGCCCATCCCGGACCTTATTTGACAAGCGATCAAAGTGATTGCTGTAAGCCCTCAAGCTTGACCTGGCTATTGTTACAGAGGTTTGAAATAAAAATTTTGTCTGCCCCCTCAGAGCCAGCCCATTGTCAAAAGTTCAGTGATACTGGTTTCCTTAATGGGATGTTCTGGATCCATTCTTCTGGTAAGAAGGATGACTTTGTTGGAAAAACAATGACATCCCCTTCCCCGCACGGGTGGAAATGTCTTTTGTGAGAAGTGATTAACATGTCCATGGGTCCCTGATACTAAGGTGGCCTAGTCAAAAAGACCCTCCGAGGCCCAAGGAAAGGGGCCATTTGTCTATTGTCCATGCTTGAGAGTATCTGAAAAGTCCATTGATTAAGGGTAGACCCAGGAAGTTTTGCAATACCTGGGTCCTGAGGGGCTGGTCATAGTTCACAAAGAGGTCACTTTGTTTAATATTTTATATAGACGTACATATAATAATTGGCGATATGGGACATATACAGAGTTCATAAAAGGGAAAGGGAGCATGCAAGATTGGGGAAAGATTGGTCCTTGTCACCTGGAGTTCATAAGGGAAGGCATGGTTATAAAATATTATTTACTTGGCATTCCCTTTTCCTAGCCTTAGACAGAAAGGTCTTGGAATCCTTTTATTTGTAGGTCATTGACTGGTATGGGGGACAATTAGCACAGTTTTTAAGTCATGGGTCTGCTTAGGTAGGCCAAAGGTCAAATGCCTTTTGTGACAGAGTTTACAGTAAATATAGCAGTTACCTTTTGTTATAAATATATGAAATATATGGCAAAAATCTTGATTAAATGTACACACCATCTAACATGGGAAGGGTCCTTGTTGTGGTTGTTAGTTCTTCTGCAGATTGGCCAAAACGTAACTCTTATTATATCATTCCAGCCTGGTGTCCTTGGCAAAACGATGAATTCCCTGATTATAAACTATCTTTTATTTGGGGGGGGGGGTCATGTTTGACTACAACATAATCTCTGGATCTTTTCTCCTTCAGGCTAAACCTCAACTCCATGGTACCAAGAGCTTGGTCTAGGACCATCTCGGTTGTCGTCTTCTGTTCTGGAGATGTTCCAGTCTGTCAACACATTCCTTACACTGCAATGCCCCGAACACAGCATTCAAGGTACGATCTGATCAAAGCAGGACACCCCACAAGGTTGCTTCCTCTCAATTTGAGTTGAGGCTCAGGCGCGCCTTAGCCAATGGGAAAGCCAGCGCTGCTTCGACTTCTCAGCTAATGAAGAGCGAGGAGGCGGTACAAGCGGGAAACAATGAACTGAGAGGAAAATGAGTGGATTAATGTGACTTAATGTGTTGTCCGATTGCCGGCGATAATCCGGAGATTCCTCAAGCTGGCCTTGTATTGTCTTATGAGGGTGAAATATACAAAAGTGGCTGGCGCGGATGCCAAGCCCCGGTAATCTCTAGCCCTTGGTATGGGATCAGTTGATGCTATCTGAGCATTGGTTTAGGCCAAGGGTATGAAGACAAAGGGTGAGGCCGATGGGGCACCCACATCCGCCTGAAGGCAGGATGTTCCTTTGTTGATTAGTGATTGAGTCACCATGGGGTGCTTCCTCTCAGGTGGCCATGCTCCGAGGCCTGAGGGGCACCATTGTTTCTGTCCATGCAAGAAGTCTTTGTTGAGTCCATATAATCAATGGGGAAATCTATCTTAGGAAATGAAGAAGAATTTCCTAAGAATTTGGCATGCTGGGGTCACAAAAAGGGTGGCATTCCATATTTTATACATAGGCACATATATGGGGTTCATAAGGCATACACTGGGAAAGAGGGAAAAGAAATTTATATCAACCCATCCCACCCCCCAGAGTTCATTTAAGGTCTAAAATCATAAAGGAAGTCCATGAGGTTTAGGGGAAAAGTTTCTAAAAAGTTTTCAAAAGTTTTCAAAAGTTCATCAAAGTTCAGGAAAAGTGGCAGGATCCATGGGGGCAAACTGGGAAAGGTTCCCCAGAGTCCATTGAGTCCTTGGAAGTGACTGCAAGCACTGGAGGTCGAGATCCACATTGGAAAACGGACCAGGGTAGCCCATCGGTTTCCTGGGGGTCCCAAGGAGTGACCGCGACAGGTTCCCCAGGTCAACAGGCTCTTCAGGCATCAACGAGACGGCAGCAGCAATGTGGTGGTAGTTGAATTGTTGGGGGCAAAAAGAGTTATTTCTGGGGCGGAGAGGTTAGCAGAGTGAAAGCGAGATAGCCGTTAGTCTTAGAATTAGCCCCGGAGAAGAATGGCACCGATTTTGGAGCAATCCGTTGACTTGCGGATATGGGGACCCGAAGGGTTTCTGTATCAGCGGTTCAGAGGAGCGCAGTTTCGGCCTCCCCGGGATGCAAAAATAGCATCCCGGGCAGGCCAGCAGCCATCTGCAGCCCGGGAGAGGGAAAGTTCATGTATGGAATGGTTTGGAGGCAGTAAAAGACACAAAGTAACACTATAGAGAGGAAAAAGGTTACAATTAATTTGATAGTTTATTGGGGGGATTAGTTGCAATGTTAGGAAGGGGAAAGAAAGTAAACCAGAAGGAGAATCTTTCGGTTGAAGCTGCTGCTGTGGCCATATTCCATGGAAGCTGGCCTAAGCGGGCAAAGGAGAACTGCGGAACTCCCTGCTGCAGGTCAGATTAGCTTGAAGGCTGGGAGTTCGGTGTTGGTTGTCCTCACAAAGACTGATCCCAGGAAAAAGTGGGATTCTGCTCTAGCTGATCCTATTGTATTTGCTGGTCTATAACAGGCATGGTGTACTGCAGCTGAGAACAACAAGGGAAAACTGATGAGCCTCCAATACTATTTACTCCCACCATGTTAAAAAAAACCCCATCGTGGATCTAGAAGTCTGGCCATCAGCATTAAAAAGTCCTAAGAAATGTCAAGGCTGATAAGTTCCTTCATGGATGCATTTTAGAAAAAGCTTTCAATGATGCCAAGGTTAAATATTTTGGTTCATTTTCTCGTGCGTTCTCAAAATAGTGTCTGCCATTATACTAAACAATGCTTGTACATATTTAAAAAATCTAGGTTCTCACTGTAGCCATGCCTTGCCTGGGTTTGCTGCAGGGCTGGGTAACTTGGGCCAGGCTTTAGCATAGCAGGTTAGCCACCAGCTGCAGTAAATCTTGCCAACCGAAAGGTTGACAGTTTGAAGCCTGGGTCAGAATGAGCTCCTAGCCTTTAGCCCAGCTATTGCCTACCTAGCAGTTTCAGAAACAGCAATGTGAATAGATAAATCGGTACCGCTTAAGCAGGGAGCTATTTAAGGCAGAGGCAATCATAAGGAAATGCTAGAAAAAATGCTGGCGATCCGATCAAGGAGGAAGTTTACAAACAAAGCTCTTTGGCAGGGAAAGTGGAGCGACAGCACCCACCCCCACCTCCCCAGCCTCCAAGATGCCAAAGATGGGAAAAGTAAGGTTGCTTACCTGTAACCATGTTTCTTCGAGTGGTCAACTGTGAAATTCACACCTGTGGTATTTCCTGCGTCCACGCAGCTGATTCGGATCCTTATTGAAAAGCTTTTGCCAAATCAGGGACTCCAGCCCCGCCCATCCACTCCAGTAATAAAGCCAGGCAGCGGGGCTTGAGGCCTTAGTTTCGTACCGCGAAAGGCAGTCGGAGATAGAAGGCATGACGGAATGCGGGGAGGATGGGCGGGTTGTGTGAATTTCACAGTTGATCACTCGAAGAAACATGGTTACAGGTAAGCAACCTTACTTTCTTCAGCGTGGTCACTGTGAAATCCACACCTGTGGTAGACTAGCGAGCAGTCCCATGGATGGTGGGCGTCATGCTAGTGCAGAAAAAGAACTGCTCTCCCAAAAGCCACATGTTTTTTGGCGGCCAAGTCCAACTTCTAATGAGAGACAAATATGTGTGGTGTCGACCAAATGGCCGCCTGACAAATGTCATCCAGTGACACACCATGCAAAAAAGCCACAGAGGTTTCCACTGCTTGAGTGGAATGAGCATGGATCTGAACAGGTAAGTCCAGTCCTGCCATCGGATATGCTAGCTGGATAGCTGCGACTATCCAGGCTGCCAATCTCTGGGTAGAAACCGGAAGGCCTACAAAGTCCTTACGGTACTTGACAAAAAGTCTTAGTGACTTTCGTAATAGAGCTGTGCAGTGGACATAGAAGGCAAGGGCTCTCCGCACATCAAGAAGGTGTAAAGACTGCTCCAGAGGAGTAGAGGGGTTTGGAAATAAGGTTGGAAGGACAATGTCCTGAGACATATGAAACTATGATGCTGCCTTAGGTAAGAAGAAAATGTCTGTGCCCAGCACGACCTTCTCCTTATGAAATTTCAGGTAAGGACTATCGACTCAAAGAGCCGAAAGCTCGATTGCGCGACAAGCAGAAGTAATAGGCGCTAAAAATGCTGTTTTCCATGATAGATGGGACATGTCAGAAGTGGCCATTGGCTCAAATGGTGGTTTCGTAAGGGAGGAAAGAACAACCTCCAACCTCCAAGAGGGGGACACAGGCCTACTTGCGGCCAGAAATTTCTAAAGCCTTGCAGAAATCTCTTTACAAGAGGATCGGATAAAGGAGAGGGAAGAGAATGCTTGCTTCTAAACAAATCTATAGTTGCCAGATTGACCTTCAAGAATGATAATGAGAGTCCTGAATCTGACAGAGAAATAAAAAAAATCCAGGAGGAGGGAAGTGGAAGCAGACAGAGGCTGAACCCCATGATTTTGTGGAAAAATGCAAAAATGACACCACTTACAAATGTAAGAATGTTTAGTGGCAGGTCTCAGGGCAAGGTCCAAAATACTGGTTGAGAGAGGGCTGAGGCCGGATCTGCCATGTCGTCAACCGGAATTGAGAGTACCTGGGAGTACGGGACTGGGCTGTTGCCCACAGTCAGCAAGTCCGGTCTGAATGGCAACTGAATGTAATAGCTGCCTGCAAGTTGGAGCAGAGTGACAAACCATGTCTGGCGGGGCCACCATGGTGTGATGAGAATGCAATCGACCTGCTCTGCTTGAAGACGAGAGACCACTCTGGACAGCAGTGGCAGTGTTGGAAAGATGTACAGGAGGGCGGATGTCCAATCCAGGAGGAAGGCACCTCCCAAACAGCCTGTCTGGTGGTGGTAAGACGTGCTCCAAAGAACTGGCACTTCATGTTGGCGGGAGAGGCAAACAAGTCCACAAGGGGAGTTTGCCATCTGACAAATAGCTCCCATGCATGGGAAGGATGAGGGGACCATTAGTGGTCAGTATAAACTGTTTGACTGAGGGAGCCAGCAAGAGAGTTCTTGATGAATGGCACTGATGGTTATGGTTTGGCTATATACCAGTCCCAGATTCTGATGATGAGGGTAAGCAAAGTGCGATAGTGCATCCCGCCCTATTTGTTGATATAGAATATCACAATCGTGTTATTTGTGTTAAGCTGGACAATACTGTCCATGAGCAAATGACAGAAAAGGTGCAGTGCCATTTCTACTGCGAGTAACTCCAAATAGTTGATGTGCTCTGTGCCCTCTATGCCCGCCCAAGGACCATGGGTGGTGTGACCCTTGAGGTGAGCTCACCATCCTGAGAGGGAAGTGTCTGTTGCTAAGATTACTGAGGGTCTTGGAAGACATAAAAATACGCCCACACAGAGATTGGAGCGATGAGTCCACTAGTTGAGAGACCTGTGGATGGCTAAAGGGACAATGAGACATTCATTGGGTTCATCCTGCATGAGATGAAATGCCCGAAGAAACCAATTCTGGAGAGGCCGAAGGTGCAAACAGGAGAAAGGAATGGCAGCTGCGGTGACAGCCATGTGTCCCAAAAGGCACTGGACATCCCTGGCATGGATGCATGGCTTCTGCCAGACTCAAAGAGCTAATGCATGCAGATTCAGAAACCTGTCTTCTAGCAAGTAGGCCCTTGCGTGCCAGGAGTCCAATACAGCCCCAAGGAATTGGGTTGTTTGGATAGGCTGAAGAATAGATTTTACCTTGTTGATAATAAGACCAAGCTTCTGCTATAAAGACAGAGTAAACTGAATGTTCCTCTGTAGATACTCACAGGACTGTGCACCAACAATCAGCCATCAATATGGGGTAAACTACTACCCCGTGCACCCAAAGATGAGCCGGCACCACAGCCATCTCCTTAGTAACACCTGTGGAGCTGTGGAGATACCATAATGAAGAACTTGAAATGAAAAGGCCTGACTGCTAGCAAAAAGTGACAAAAATCTACCATCTTGTGGTCTAATCACCACATGAAAATAGGCATCCTTCAAATCAATGCTACTAAACCATGCCTTGCTGGATAACAGAGGGAGGATGGTTGGTAATGACAACATCTGAAATTTGCGATATGCAATATATGAATAAAGTCCTCTAAGGTCCAAAACTGGCCAAAGCCCACTGCCTTTCTTGGAAACCAAAAGGTATTTGGGAAAAAGGGAAAAGAAGGAAACATAGAAAGACGTAAAGAAGCTACTGCTCCTTTCTGAAACAAAGTAATTACCTCCTGCTATAACACAGGAGAAGGAGGAGTGGCCCGTAGAGTCCCTACTGGGGACAGTTTGAGAAATTCAATTGCATAAACATGCTCTGTAATCTCCAACACCTATGAGTGAGAAGTGATCTAATGCCATGCATCTAAAAATGATGAGTTGGAGCTCCAAAAACTGGAGCTGAAGGGTTGGAGGCTATTAAAGAAGAAAAACGCATGCTAAAAACGCTGTTGGCCCTGATCTTGTTCTTTCCCTTTAGTTTGTTGTCATCCCTGGTGGAAAAATTAAGTCTTCCAGCTACAGAGGCCCTAGAGTTCTGGCCCTGCTGAGGACTGAAGGAAACCGGTCATGAAGGTTGATGATAATTAAGCTGAGGGGCTGGCCACCACAATCTAGGCTGGAAAAAGATTGTGGTAAAAAGCCAAACTTAGAAGCAGCCTGTCAAATCTTGTGCGTACTTTTGAAGTGAGGGTGTGTATCAGGATGAAACAGACTATGTTCTGCCATGGGCAGTTCTTCTGCCATTGCTCTGCCTTCTTTGGAGAGGGTAGAGGATCTCAGCCAAGCATGCTGGTGGATGGCTGCTGCTGCAGCAGCAAACACCTTTAGTACTGTATTGGTGCTGTGCTTAGACATAGCTTTCTGATGTGAAGCTAAGGTGAGAGCTTACTGACAGAAAGCCCTTGGGATCTGTTGATGTTATAGGGGAAAGAGATCCAAATAAGGTGCTGAGTTATGCCACAAGAGCACCTGATAGGCTGCCATACAAACATGGTAATGAATCATGCAAGTAAGTAGGCTAGCAGTGGGGTGGATCTTATTATCACAGTGGACTGACTTGAGGTGTCTTAGCTTTCTTGGATTAAACAACTTTGACCACAATAAAGTTCAGTTTAGTAGGCTTAACTAACCACTCTGCTGAAGAGGTGCCTATGCAGTAAGGTGCATTTACAAACTTAGAAATTCCAGACACAGATACAGGAGTTGCCTTTTGTTTTTCTCCAAGCTTAAGCAAGTATGGAAGTGCTGGGAGAACTGTACTTGGAGCTTGTTTCTGCTGTTGCTCAACTGAGAAAAGCAGATCCTCTAAGCAATCAAGGAGGAAAAATTAGGTAACACATCCCCTATGGAAGCTGGGATGGAAAAGTCCTCCTCAAGAGGAGGAGAAATCTGCTACTCATAGGAGTCAGAATCTACATCAGCCTCATTGACTGGTTCCAGCTGAAAGGAAGCACCAGAATGAGCTTAGGAAAAAATCTTATTAAACTCCTGAAAAC